AACGTTTAATCAAACATAATTTAACCTTGTCTAATCTAAATTTTGAGATGTTGGATCAGTTAATTTCAGATGTGTTTTTTTTTAAGTGTATATTTACTGGAATTTTAATGAAGACATATGTATTGAGGTTTCTTGTTGGTTTGGACAAAAAATCACAGACACGCTTTGGCGATATGGCCTTATATAGGCATATCGTCTGCAACTATACTATTTGGCGATATGGTCTTATATATGTATTTTTACTCGCTTTATATATTTCAAATTGACCCTTTTCTTTGAGTTTTTTTTTTTTTGTTTCGAGATAAGATTTGATTTTCTTTAAGTTATGCTATGATTTGCGTGGTAATAGAAATGTCAGTGAATTTATTTTTGAAAAGAAAGAAAGAGATACATAGATGTGACGTTTTACTCTCTTGTAAAATCAAATATTCATATATGGCTTGTATATTATCTCAATTTCACTATAACATCGGTATATTTTCTTTCTACCATAACTTCGCCTTATTCATACGAAGTTCGTCTTCACATCGTGTCTTAATACTTAATATGTGCATTGTTTGGTAGAATCTGAAGGGGCTTTCTTATAAAATACTCCAAAAGTCCATTCACACAGATATATAAATATATACTTACACGTCAATATTCTTTGTATAATGTATATGTGGATTCTTTAGTTAGGCGAGAGAGAGAGAGGGTTTAATTTTGCAGATTATGAGGGTGAGTGGGAGGAACAGAAAAAGGAATAAAAATTGGTCTGCGTCTTGGTTTCTGCAGGTGCATTTGTTTGGGCCTAAAAACTCATCTTTCCCAAATTTAATAATTTTTGTTGCGCTCTCCTTTTCTTTTCTTCATTCAATATACGTCACCTCAACTACGCCCATGATGATATTGAGATGCTTATAAGAATCGAAAGACGAGCTAATATATTACACTAATTCGGATTAATTATTATGGTGCATGGGGATGTGAAGAAGACTGTCCAAAACATACACACAAATCACGCATTATCGTTAGGTTTGTAATTTGCATTTCTAAAAACATACTAATGTAATTGTATTGGTCATCCCATTATTCGTCCCCGAGATTTCCTCCGTACCACCTCGAACCTTGTCTTACAAATTCTCTTTTGAAAAGCTTAGTTACTATTTTTTTCAAAAAATTAAAATTCTTTGATGTTATTCCACGTAGAAATGATTTTCAAGACGGATGGTTATAAAAGCAGCAACTTTAAATATCAGTACGCAAGTGGGTCCATGGGAATTTTCCGCTGTAAACCAATAACAGAACGACACGTGTAAGAGACATTTTGCAATTGTATCATTGCACTTGAGGGAGACAAAATAGAAGCCTAGGTCCACAACATCAAAGTTTTCCCAAAACGAATTTGTGTCTCGAAAATGAAAAGAGAAGACAAATACTATAAGAGTAAAGAGCCCATCATCTACCCTTATAATTCTCAACTTCTGATCTTTCTAGAGGAGTATTTCGTATTGCTTCCTTAAATTGATCCCATTCCCTTATTATTGCAACATTCAAGCAGAGAGCGAATTAAAGTATTTTGAAAATTATGTGTAGATTCTAGATCAAAATAAGATGAATATTGTAAAAGAAACTATAAACTCACAATCCGATTTGGTTGAGTCTTGATATATAGGTCGTCAAGCAAAGGTACAAAACCAAAGAGTTATGGTCCCTCACATATAACTAAATTTAGACACCTGAAATTCCCTTTTGTCCGACTCTGTTGGATCTTTCTCTTGATCCACTCTTCTCTCATTCTCCTTTTTTTTTGTTTTGTATATTTTTTTACCGTCGTAATTCAATTTCTCATATTTTTGAAAGATGGCATTTAAGGACCAAAGGAAGAAACAAGAGCAGGACGTGGAACAAGGCAAGAAGCATATTCAAAAACAATGCTACATTTTGACAGCCTCGGCGAAAGAAAGCTACCTTATGGTATGGAGCCAAAGGTTTTGAAGAGGGAGGGAAAAGTGAGACGAAAGAAGGAACATGAAAATGAACACCAACGGGAGGAGCCAAATGTACTGGTAGTAGGAACTTGGGAAGGACGAAAAACTTAAAGAGAAGGGCGCGGCGCAATGAATGAAGAAAACGTGAAGGATACACATGCAAAGGAAAAGAACAGCACGCAACAGATGATGGAAACGAGAGCCGAGAGGAGCAGAACAAGCAAGGAAGATAACACGACTGATGAAAAGACGGTGAAAAGTGAAGAGAACCAAGCGAGATGGCTTGTGTCTGGTAAAGGAAAAGAGTCAGAGGTAACATATAAGTCACTGAAGATGCAAACAACATAATCAAAGGATGAGAAACAAATACAGAAGGATGATTCAAATAACGGAGAGAGATGTGATGGGTGAAAAAGGCATCTCTGTTGTGCAACAACACTGTTTCTGCACTTCATACTCTTTCCCTGATTCGATCTTAGTGTATCTAACCATTCACTACGGGATGGAAAATTTAAGTGAAACAATCACCAGCGCAATGCGGTAATGAAAGATCAAGATTTTATCAATGTCATCATAACTGATATAAGGAGCAACCGAGTCAGTCAACACGACACATATCAATTCCTTTATTCAGT